CCGGGGCGCAGAGGGAGCCCGTGCGGGGCGAGCGGCCGTCCATGCGGCGGCGCTCGGGAAGCACGCGGAGCTGAGGAGGCTGACGCTCCGGACTAGCCCCAGGTGAGCAGATCGCGCAGCCCGGCCCGCCGTGGTCCGGAGCCAGGGGCAGCCACGCAGTCTGGCACTCGTGGGTCTGTCGGGGCCCATGGTCGCTTGGGACGTTGTACCTGCTTCTTCCCTTCTCTTTCTGTCCTCTTCTCCTTCCTTTCCCACTTCCCCTTCTTCTTCCCTTTCTCTTCCTCTTCTATTTCCTCTTCTCTTTCCCTTCCCCTTTCCATTTCTTTTCCCCTTCCTTTCATCTTCCTCTTCTTCCTCTTTCCCTTGACTCTTCCTCTTCTCTTCCCTTTTCACCTTCCTTTCCCCTCCTCTTTCCCTTTCTCTTCCCATTTCCTGGAGGCCTGTTTTGCCCTTACTCTCCATCCCGGACCCTTAACTCCAGAGCCAGGCCACCTGGGGTGGGGGAAGTAGCAAACTAGCCCTTTTGAGTTCTGTTCAGCTCAGAGAGGGAAATCCTGAGTTGCACAGGCTGTGCTTGGTCCCCCACCCCAGCCTTGCTTTCCTTTGCTTGGCCTGGGATTGCTGGTAGAGTGTCAGCAGCCAGCCCCCTGAGCCCCAATCTGGAGCCACCATCACTTTGGTTTCTAGAAAGCCTCTGACCCCCAGGTCAATTAGTCATTGAAACCCAGTGTCATCGCTAGCCCAAGTGGACCTGCTGTTTCTGTCAGCCTGGGATACATCAAGTACAGCTCATAGAACTGTGGCCCTAATGTGGTTGAAGAGTTAGCATTTGACCAACTTGCTCACCTTGAAGTGGGAGAGATCTGGAAATGAAGTTTCATTTTTCTTAGAAATAACCTGGGAAGCAGATTTTGAGACACCCACTTAGCATGTGGAATTATGGGTCTAGAGAGACTTTAAGGAGCCCCCCAGCTTTCTGTGCCGTAGAAAGTGCATCTCTCATCTGATTGTGTCTCACCCCTTTGTAGGCAGTAAGATGAATTGAAGCCTGCATCTGGGGAGCTGATTGAAGCCCATTAGAATTTGGAGTGAGTGAAACAGGTAGCCCAGAACGCCCAAGGAATTATCGTGTCCAACTTCCTTTGCATCTGCAGCACCCAGAGGGCAACTAAGATCTCACACGTTTTAGAGCCGCTGTGTTGATGTCTCTGGCCTGGTAGAGATGGTAGTGATACAGTTGCTGGGCTGGAAAGGACCTTAGCTGGGTCTCTGTACAAAGGAGCAAACATTTTCAAATAAGGTGGCATTTAAGTGTAGCTCTACTCAATTCCTATAGATTTTTGTTGGCACCATACATAGTTGAATTCCTTTGAAAAATGCAATCCTACCCTGAAAATCAATGCGAGGAAGCAGCCGAGAGTCCTGGGGCTTTCCCATAAACCTCTGCAGAGCTGGAGCTGGGAATTCCCAAAGGTCTAGCCTCGCAGAATGAATGAGTTTGGGTGAGGAGAACATGAGGAGCCACTGCAGTCACAAGTGATGGCATTAGCCTCACTGTGAGGATGACAGGGCTCTGGTGGTCTCCATGCCCAGCCCAGGGCAGGGCACCATTGGCCTCACCCTCACCCGCTGCGCCATGGCGAAGTCTCATGGCGAGGTGTGAAGGGAGAGAAACAGAATACAGTATGGGAGGAAGGTCAGGGCTTGAAGTTTGTGTTTACTGAATGATCTAGTCTGTTGCCCACAGAGTTCCTCTCTACCCTCCACACTGTCCTCCAGGGCATCACCTTTATCCCTATTGGCTGTTGGTGTCCATGTCCAAGTGCCCCCAGCACCCTTATCCCATTCCCTATATGCATAGCTCATTTATCAAAACCCCTTCCACATTCTTTCTTTCACGATCTCTCAAACTCTTTTCCTGACCCTACTTTAAACCATGTCCAAATTACAGTAACAATTTCCCTTCCTGACTACTAGCCTTGGGTGGCTCTCTTCCTTGTAATCCATCTTCTTTCATGCTGACAGATGAATATTTCTGAAATTCTGACTTCACCACATTGCACAAAATCACAATGGCTCCCCAGTATTCACTTCCATTGAATTTTTCCCCAGCAAATACTTCTGAACATCCGTTGTGTGCCAGGGATTATTACTGTGTGCTGGGGCTTATACTGAGCAAGGATGTATCATTGCCCTCCAGGGGCTGAGGGGAGAGTAGCTGATAAATGACCACCCAAGGAGAAAGAAACAAAACGGGGCAGAGGGGGAGGAGATGAAAGAACGAATATGAATATCCATGTGCACGCGTGAGCAGAGCATCCAGAAGACAGCGGAGGGAGAAACTGATTCCTAGGCACACGCGGCTTTGAAGACCTCAGTTGTCTTTTGAGCCAGGAATGAGACTGTAGTGACAGATGCAGGATCTATCCCAAATGGCCCCCTCCTCTTCCTCCTCCTCTTCCTCCTCCTCCTCTTCCTCCCTCCTCCCTCCCTCCCTCCCTCTCTCTCTCTTCCCCTCTCTCTCTTTCAGACAAGGGCTCAACATGTAGCTCAGACTGACCTTGAGGTGGTCATCCTTCTGCCTCAGGTACTGGAACACCGAAATCATGGGTGTTTGCTACCATGCTTGACTTAGTTGTCCTGACTTATCTGTGTGTGTGTATGCATATATGCTCATGCATGTGTGCATTTTCACCTACATGTGTGCATGCATGTGTGCCACACAGGCCATAGAATGTCAATCTGAGTCTCAGGGGCTATAAGCATATAATATATATATATATATATATTTATTTATTTATTTATATATAGCCAGCCTCTCTCTCTCTCTTCCTTCCTTCCTTCCTTTCTTTCTTTCTTTCCTTCCTTCCTTACTTATATCAGAGGGCCTTAACTTTGACCTAAAGGAGTAAGTGGGAAAATTGTGAGTTCAAGAGAGCCCCCCTTTTGTTTTTGTTTAAGGGGTCTTGGAAAGAAGTTTTTGAAAGCTCAACACATCCTTCTTGTCCTCCCTGAAAGCATCTAAGCCCGGCCTTTGCATCCCAAAGTCTGAACAAGTGTGAAGAAGAAAGATCAGGATGCCTTGGTTTGAAAACCCCAAGCTCGTGGGGGTACAACATAGGCTGTAATCTTCCAAATAATGCTGGCCAGGTTAGGCTAGCCACAGCCACGCTTCTTCCCTAGAGTGCTGGCTGACCCATGCAGATTCTCACTTAACAGTTCTTTCAGTTTTCCCTTCTCCGACACCGATCTTCACATATAACAATGGGATAGGTGGCCTGGAGGCTGGTGTGGGTTTGACGCCCCCAGGCGAAGCCTGGCGCAGAGTAGGCGCTTGGTGTCACTTCCCATTTTTTCCTGTCTACTCTGACTGCTGAGTGCTTACACAAATGGGCACTCACTAAACCTATCCCAGAAGAAACTTGCATCCAGCCTTGCCCTGTCAGGTGCAGGTTCTGTCTGAAGGAATGCCTATTATTGCCCTGCACTACAACTCAGCCACTGAATATACAGCTGCAGTATGGTAATCATCCAGCCGGCATCCCGTCTTCTCTCCACTTCCTGTCCAGTTTCCCCTTGGCTCCTCTAAAGGGCACAAACACCAGGTGAGCAGCCGTTTTTCTCCCTGGCGATTGTCATCTTGGGGAAAGTGGCCACTTTTAGTTTATTTCTCTTTCTTTCCCTAATCCTTCAGTTAAACAGTAGGTGCTTGTGGTCTGGGAGCCTTAAGGATAGCTTAGGTGGAAGACAGGCAGTGTTCTCCCTCTGCTTGGGTGTGGTCCGTGGAGTCTTGAGCCAGGCTTGGGCCTCTGTGTCTTGTCCCCTGGAAGGTGGCACTGGCCAGCTCACAGGCACCCTCCCAGGCCCCTTGGCAGGCTGCCCGAGGTCTGACCAGCAGGGAAGACAGAGGTAATGAGTGATTAATGGGTGCCTCATCTAATCTCCTGCCAGGGGAAATGAAGGACCAGTCATGGGCTGGAGGCTGGTCTTGACCTGCTCCAGGTGGGCTTGGAATGCACCCAGCTCAGGATGGGGATTAAGGCTTGAAAGACAAGAGGAAATGAGATGTTAACCCTTTAGCTGTTAACCCTTTAGCTGTGGCCCTGCGACTCCTAGTCGGGAAATGGCAGGGGAATTATCTTCAGGCATCTGATGAGAAGCTGGGCATCGCCTTTGATTTATGGCAGGGATGCAGCCACGCGTCTGACTACTGTGGGGATGGTTGTGGGCCTTGACTTTGTGATCATTTTCTTTGAGGTGAGATCATGAGAGAGATGATTAATTTCTGCTGCCTGGGGCTGCATCCACCGCTGGGAGACTGCCTCCTTGCCTCCTTGGGAAGCTGCTGATGCTATCAGAAAGTGCAAATTTGCACTGCTTTTTTTTTCCCCCTGACCGGGGGGGGGGGGGGGGGTGGGGGTTCCTCCAACAGCCTGTCATTTCCAGGAAGATAAACAAAGAAGGCATTTGCCTCCGGGCTAGATACCACCTCACCTCTCCGTGATGGAGTCCTGTCCACTCCTGTGTCGGCAGCCTGTGTGTGGAGAACAGAAGGTGACAGCTCTCCAGAGCCAGCTCAGAGTCCCGGTCTAGGTCTCAGCACACTGTCGGCTTCAAACAAGGTCCTTAACCACTCTGTTGTCATTTTCCCCCCTTTAAAGTGGGTGTCATAACAGCGCAGCGTACAGCACAGGGGAGATTCGTGACATTGTAAAATGCTGCCAGCAGCCCTGGGCTCCTACCCAGGCCATTTCGGTCTTAGCTGTCTTTCTTCTCACCTATCCCACATCACCCTTCCTCAGGACAGAAACCACTCCTCCACTCCCCTGCTTCCAGGACTCACTTCTATGAAGTGACTTAACTCCTTGATTGATTTGGCTTGTTTGACCCCTGACCCCGCATGCTTTAAATTCTGGTTCCACCCTCTGTTGCTGGCCCCATGGCCTCCTGCTGCCCTTTTGATTAGACCTCCAGCCCCTTGCCCTCTGCCTCCTTGCTAGCTGGACAGAATGCTGGTGAGCTGGATAGTGATGTCAGCCTGGACCTCTGGTGGCCTAAGCCGGTTCTGCTCTCCTCTGCTCGTTGCTAGCTTTGGTATGACC